ATTTGGTCCCTAATCTTTTAATCACTATTTATTTTATTTAAGATGATTTATTCAGTTGAGTTTTTTTTTCAATTTTATCCCTCTTCACTTTTTTTTTTTTATCTTTCAAATCTGGTCTCCTTTCTTTTAATTGATTTTTATTATTTGAGATGATTTTTAAAACTTTATTTTTCATAATTTCATAATTTTAATGTTTTTTTTCTACCAGTTTTTTTCTCATTATTTTAATTGTTATTTTTTTTTTAACTTTATGCTCCAACATTTATTTTTTTTAGAAATCAAGCTTGTTAATTAAGCCCGTGTCTAGAAATTTACATGTTGGGAGTTTGGAAAATTACTCAGGTTTAAGAAATTCATTTAGATTTGCTTAGCTTTTTTTTTTTTAAGCTCATATTTTTCAATTTCATCTCTTAACATTTATTTCATTTAAGATTGGACTTTTTTTTTATTATTTAATTTTTATAGATTTTTTTATTAATTTTGACAACAACATGAGTTATCTTGAGTCTTTTTATTTATTGTTGTCTATTCGATTTATCTTTTATTTGAAAATTTTATTTTTAAGTTAAATTATTCAATATATGTATGAGATGTTCATCTTATGATATTTTGATTAGCTTGCTTTCTAGTTTGTTGCTATAACTTGGTTACCATGCTTCGTTGCATGACTGAACTATTTTTTCACAAAAAATGATGTTAAGCTGCTGCAAGCATTATTTATAAAAGAAATAAAAACATGCAACTTGGTTCATAGATCTAACGAGGTCAAATAGGCTGTCTTTAATTCAATTAGACAAAAAAAGAAAAGAAAATGATAGTAGATAAATCAAATTTAAAAAGAAAAGTATTTTTTTCCCAAAATGGAACAAATAATGCATATCAATTCACAACCCATTAAATATACAAGAACAAATTAGGGTAAAAAATCACATAAAATAATTGGTCTTGGTTAACTTGATTTAGCATGACAAGCATATAAACTCAGTAATCATGATCGAGCCACCTAAGATATCCCAAAGAATCTATGGTCCAGACCATAAGATTGAAATAAGTTGATAAAAAAATAAAAAAGAATTATAAAGCTTTTTTTTAAATCATGTTAACTTTTCAAATGTATGACTTGAGTCACTAGACCCGAAATATTCTATTTGAAAAAAAAATGAAGTCCAACTCTCAATTAATAAAATATTAAAAGATAAAATTTAAAAAGAATTAATTTTACAAGAGGATTAAAAAATAGCAATTAAAATAATGAAGATCAAAATTCAAGCACCAAATAAATTTTATTTTTGATTAAAGGGTGAAATTGAAAAGAAAAATCAATTTAGCAAAAGGACCTAGAAAATCAAAGAATGAGGATCAAGATTGACATAACAAATAAAAATAAATTTATGATTGAAGGGTGGAATTAAAAAGAATAATAAATTTTTCAAAAAAGCCAAGAAATTAAAAATCAATACAATGAGAATTAAGTTGAAAAACACAATATCATCAATTTGGATTAAAGGATGATATTAAAGATAAATAAAAGTTTTACAAAAAACTAACAAGAAAAATTGAAAATCAAAATAATAAGGGCCAAATTAGAAAAATATAATATTTATAAATTAAAATTAAATAATAAAATTGGAAATAAATGAGACATCTATAAAATAAATATGAAAAAAAATTTGAAATCAAACTCTAATTTTTTGGGAGGAGAAGGAAAAAAAATGAAAAAAAGCTAATAATGTAAAAATCATTATAAAAATAAAAAAATTAAATATAAGCTAAATAATTTTATTTATAACAGCTAAAACAATTCTTATATAATTTTGAAAAATATAATAAAAAAGTTATAAAAAAATAAAAAAATCTAAATAAAGTAAAAAACTATTATGGATTTTGCAAAATGGTTTCTGAACCCTATTTCAATACCGACCCTACGATGGGTTGCCCATAATGCTGGAGACAGAACAAAAACCTTAACGATAAAAAGGAAAACCAATCGATAGAGCTAGATCTTATGTGAATGATTCGCAAATATGTTGCTTCTTTTCTTCCACAAATAATCTCAAAAAAATTAATTTGGTTAAGTCGATCTGAGGTATTTTCACTTTTGTTTTGTGAAGAGAGAATGTCTTGGAGAGAGGAAGATAGAGTGAGAGTGAGGTGTTTTTTTTTTTTTTTAATGGTTCTTCATTTGTAATATATTGCATAGTATATTTAAAAATATGATAGAAGCTGCGGTTTAAGAAAAAATGAAAGAACAAGATAAAGATAGTGAGAGTAATATTTAAGAAAAAATGAAATGAATTCTATTTTAATTTAATTTATTTAATTAAATTTAAATTAATTATTATAATTAAATTTAATTATAATAAAGAATCGATTCAAAGAATATTTATCTAAACTTTAAATTCTTCTTTGATATTTTACCTCATAGCTTAAATATCTTTAAGAACTCAAAATGATAGAACTTCACCGAACTTAAGCCTGGTATGTGTTCATTTTCTTGTCATTCTTTCTCAAATTATTATCCCTTTTCTCATCTTTCACGGATAAAACTAAAAAAAGATTTTTTTTAGCATGATTATTAAAGATATTTTTTTTTGCATTGCAAAAATATTTTTTTTAAAATTTGAAAATCTTTTATTTTTTTCTTTATTTTAAATTAATTTTTAAAAAATAAAAAAAATATTATTTTAATATATTTAAAAAAATACTTTAAAAACAACAACTATCATTACTAATTTATAATAAAACATTAAATTTTATTTTAATATATTTTTATAAACACCCATGCTATAAGAAAAAAATCATTTTTAAATGCTTTTTCATTGCTAATATTATGGCTTAACTTTTTTATTGTTAAACCTCTTAAGCCGTCCTTGTTATAATGAAATATTTCTGCTTGTACAACAATAATTTATAATAAAACTTTAAAATTTATTTTCAAGTTTCAAAAGATTCAAATGTTATTATCAGAACAAAACTCATGAGAAAATAAACTACAACGGATATATATTTTGAAACAAGTTACTTGACAGTTGACAATGCGACAACAACGCATAATCTCCAATGCAAGTAAATCTTAACTCTTAAAAAATCTCATAAAATCATGTAAACTGTATCAGCACTATGTTGACATAATTAAAGAACGGGTGCTGAGTTTTATAGATTATTTTAGAAAAATTAAAAAAATATTTAAAATTTTAATATTTTATATAAAAATATTTTAAAAAATTCATGTGAATATAGATTATATATATTGTAAATAATAAAATTTAAAAAAATATTTAAATTTTTTTTACCTCATATAAAAAAAGATATTATATTATCATTTTAAGTATTTTTTTTTATCTCATATAAAAAAGATATTATATTATCATTTTAAGTTGAAGTATTTAAACCAAATTTTTTTTATGTCACATTGAAAAAACATAATTTGTTTTTGTGAACATAGAGTATATATACTAAAAGACTTAAACTTCATTTTAAGTTGAAGTATTTAAACCAAATTTTTTTTATCTCGTATTGAAAAAACATAATTTTTTTTGTGAATATAGAATATATATACTAAAAGGCTTCAACTTCCATATTAAAAAAATAACTTCTTTCTTATAAACATAGAGTATATATATTAAAGAGTTTCAAATCTCACATTAATAAGATATTATATTATTCTTTTAAGTTAAAGTATTTAAACTAAATCTTTTTTTTTATCTCACATTAAAAAAACATAAGTTTTTTTTCTTATAAACATAAAGTATATATACAAAAAGACTTCAAATCCTACATTGAAAAATTAATTTTTTTCTTGGGAACATAGAGTATATATACTAAACGGTTTCAAATCTTATATTGAAAAAACATAACTTTTTTCTTATAAATGTAGAGTATATATTCGAAATTGCTTCAAATTCCTCGTTGAGAAAATAACTTTTTTCTTGAAAATATAGAGTGTATATATTAAAAGACTTCAAATTTTACATTGAAAAGATATTATGTTATCCTTTTAAGTTGAAGTATTTAAACTAAAAAGTGTTTTATCTTATATTAAAAAAATATAACTTTTTTCTTGTGAACATAGCGTAAAGGACTTCAAATTTCACAATTAAAAAATATATTTTTTTTTGAACATAAAGTATATATATTAAAAAATTTTAAATCTCATAATAAAAAAAAAATCTTATAAACGTAAAGTATATATACGAAAAGATTTTAAATACCACATTGAAAAAATAACTTTTTTCATAGGAATATATAATATAAATATTAAAGGGTTTCAAATCCTACATTGAAAATATATTATGTTATTCTTTTATATTAAAATATTTAAATAAAATTTTTTTTATCCCACATTTAAAAAATATAATTTTTTTCTTGTGAATATAGAGTATATATATAAAAAAATTTCAAATACCACATTGAAAAAATAATTTTTTTGAAATATAGAGTATATATATGAAAGTGTTTCAAATCCCATATTAAAAAAATAATTTTTATCTTAAAAAAATAGAGTATATATATATATATATTAAAAGATTTTATATCTCATATTAAAAATATAAAATATTTTTCTAATATTTATATAGTAAGCTTTAAAAAATATTAATAATCAACTAAAAAAATATAAAAAAATCACATTTAAAAAAAAACTAGATATCATTTGATTTCGTCTAAGTTATTTTGCCTTATTATTGTATCAGTTGATTTTTTTAACAAATTCAGACTAATCTAGCTATTGAATTGATTTGTCGGGCCAGTCTGAATGTAATAACAGTTATTAACACTTGCTTTGAGTTCCGTGCTAAAAAATATCAAAAGTTGAACTAGATGCATGCAATTAATGGGACGTGAGTGGGTGCCGTGGCTGTTTGTAACATGTTGTTTTTCGTCACCTACTCCCCCTTCGTCCTCATGGAGGCTCCACGATGACCACAGTTGAAATACGATCTTGTATCCCTGTCGTCATTGCTAAGGTCATAAACGGCTATATAAACCCAACCCAGGCCATTTTGTATTTAGACACGATTCTGTCCCAAATCACCGCTCTTTTGCACCTTTAAAAAAAGGCCACGCACACCGCTCTTTCGCACCTTTTAAAAAAGGCCACGCACACGCATCTCTAACTTACACCGCTCTTTCGCACCTTTAAAAAAAGGCCACGCACACGCATCTCTAACTGTCACTGCCATGGCTGCTGCTGCGTAAGAAGCCGCAGCTTGCTTTCTCTCAATTCTTCAACTTGTGTTTTGCTGTTTGATTGATCTCTCTCTGTTTTTTTGTTTTGTTTTCTGTATTGGAAGTTTGGATAAGAGCATACCAGAGAAATTGCCCCCATCATTGGATGCGACTGCAGAGCAACCTCCACTATTTGATGGAACTACCAGGTTTGTTTTTGTTTTCTTTTTTTTTTCTGGTTGCTGTGAATGACAGTAGTAAGAATTTTGTTTCTAAATTAGTTTTGTTTTTGTTGTGTCTAAGGTTGTATACATGCTACACTTGTCCATTTGCCCATCGAGTTTGGATCACCAGGAATTTCAAGGTCTCTTATCAATCCATTCTGTTCTTTGCTGTCACTTTCCTTTTTATTTATTTATTTTTTCTTTTTGATGGGTGCAGGGATTACAGGACGAGATTAAGCTAGTCCCTCTAATCCTTCAAAATAGGCCTGCTTGGTATTCAGAGAAAGTTTACCCTCCAAACAAGGTCAATACTTCCTTTCTTTATGCTTCATTAATGCTTCCTTTTATTGTTATCCGTCACTCAAACCCTATTTTTCAAGAAATGATACACTATTCTTTTATTTTTCTTTCTATTTTTGTAGACAATATTGCAGTAGGTCACCAAAGAAAAAAGACAAAAAAAGAAAAAAAACCCTGCAATACATCAGGCTAACAAGTTTCCTGTTAAAAACCCAGAGTAGGGTTTATAGCTGGGGTAGTATGAGCTGTAATAGCATTGTTTTTGAGGCACTGTCGATTCTGCTTTGTTTTCGTATGGCTCTAGTGAAGTTGTTTATGATGTTTTCTTAAAATAGTGTGATCATAAAGCTGATGAATTATAGAATTTAGCTTGATACTTACCGAATTATTGGCCGTTACATCAGTTTTTCACTGAAAGTTTCTGAAGTATAGTTCTGATTTTTGGAGTTAGTACTAATTTGAAAGCTAGTTGTATCAAGTGCGTACGGTTTCTGTTTAACCTATGAATTATTTATCATTTCTTGGTTGATTACAAAACCATTTTTGTTCATAGGTTCCATCACTGGAACACAATGGCAAAATCACCGGGGAGAGTCTTGATTTGATCAAGTATTTAGAAAGCAACTTTCAAGGACCTTCACTTCTCCCTGGGGTAAGATGCGTATGATTCTCCTGCACTCTTGATGTGAACTCCCAATCAAATTGAAAAAATTAACAAAGTAAGTTACTGTAGGATCCTGCTAAGAAAGAGTTCGCTGAAGAGTTGTTCTCCTACACTGATACGTTCAACCGTACAGTGTTTACTTCATTCAAGGGAGACCCGGCGAAGGAAGTTGGTAACTTCAGATTTTCCTCTCTTTCTATGTGTGGTGTTTCATATATAAACTGGACTAACAATAATTAGTAACTTGCATCAGGTCCTGCTTTTGATCATCTAGAAAATGCTCTGCATAAATTTGATGATGGGCCGTTCTTCCTTGGTCAAGAATTCAGTTTGGTATGTTTTCAGTTAATACCACGAGCACCTTAGCCTGTTCTGTTTGCTGATTTTTTCACCATATATATATGTTTTCAGAAATATGCATGGTGAATCATTTGCCTTTGCACATTATTTGAGTGTGTTATGTTTTATATGTATGTTTAAAAACCATTTGTTCTCAGGTGGACATAGCCTATATCCCATTCGTTGAAAGATTCTGCATCTTCCTGTCAGAAGTGTTTAAGTATGATATTACTGCTGGCAGACCAAAACTGGCATCTTGGATTGAGGTAATTTGGAATCCATTCTTTTTTCATCTGCCCCCCGTGTTCCATGCTCTTTCACTTTGATCCTCCCAGATCTACCTGGTTCTGTACTCTTTATCTTTTTCATCGTTTGGTTGAAAACAGTTTTACGGGATCTTCAATCTTGCATGACTTAGATCATGTCTGGTTATTGTGTTGGCGTCTTCTCTAGTGTCTAATAATTAAGCTTATGATGAGCAATCATTTGCTGTTACGCAACTGAACATCTGAGCTGAATTTCCTAGTGCTTCTTATCTTGAACCAGTAGTAAAAAAGAGGATGAGCTTCTTTTTGGGCTAGAGATTTTGGTTTTGGATGGTAACTTGTTCCTTTATAAATCCAAACGCAGGAGGTGAACAAGATTGAGGCTTACAAGCAGACAAAAACTGATCCAAAAGAGATGGTTGAAGTTTACAAGAAGCGCTTTATGGTAAATAGTCAAAGCCATTCTGATATGCTTATAATTCATGGAAGTTGTGGTGAAGTAACTGATCATCTGTTTATGTTTGCTTCGCAGGCTTAGAATGAAAATGCCACTGCACTGAATAAGGGCCCTGGGGTCTCTTAGCTGAATAAGATTGTTGTGTTTGTATAGGGTGAAGGTGCATATATATATATATATATAATGGTTGATGTTTCATGGTTGGTCTCCACGGGTGTCTACTTATAGCTCTGGTAAATAATGAAGAATAAACCTCCATTTCATTTTAGTTCATTGAGCATGCCTGGCTTAGTGTGTTCGCTAGATTTCCAGGATGGTATTACTTTAGCACCTGTTTTTAGGCTGGATGCTGCTAGTACTTTTACTCCAAGCTCTTTGCATGGTGTTTAACGAAATGCTTGGCTTGTAGTATGAATATAAAAGCTCCTGTTACTTATGTGATATTGTTGCTCGCCGGAATTTGTTGCTTCGTATTAACAGTTAAGAATCCCAGGCATTCGTTTTCTTCCACAGAAGATAGTTGTGGCGATGGTATAACAGGCCTTTCTTATGGGCACTGGAATTAGGCGATAAGAATGCACTACAATTAGGCGATAAGAATGATGCTGACAACATATCAGGTTAATGAATTTTGCATTTTCTATCTCGAGGATGTTAAGGTTTTACAATGGAGCGTACCACTTCTCTGGTACATAAATTACATTCAAAAGAAAATCTTAGAGGGTGATGTTTAACTTATACATTCGGGATTTGCTTTTTAGAGTTTATTAATTCAAATTTTAAACTCATTAAAAATTTATATAATTACTAATTTAGAGCCCGTGAGATTATCAAAATATATATAAATTAATCTGGATATTTATATTAATTAAAAAAATAAATTATAGTGAATGATCCTTGAATTAACCTTACTGCTATTTACAATGATAGCAATAAACAACATTGTAATCCAAAAAACAAGGGGCCTGCAAATGGCTTCCAAAATTTAGACAATAATCTCAATAATGGTTCGTTTGTTTATAAATGTTAAGATTAAAGAAATATAACCTAATGTAGTACAATGCTAACGAAACTTACCAAGTTACTTGAATTGTGTACGGGCTCTAACACCATTGAAGATCTTCGCCACCCAAATATGTGGGTTTTTTCTTTTAAAATCAGAACAACGAACATAAAAAATTTAATGGAATAACATTGTTTAAAAAAAATTTAGTGAAATACCATTTTATTATTTTTTAAAAGCATAATATTTAATTCTTTAAAAACATCATT